TTTTTTTTTTTTTTTTCCCCCGTATAAAAACAAAAATTTTTCCCCCCCCGCGGCCCCCCCTGGGGGTATTTTTTTAAATGTTTTTTTGCCCCCCTTCCAATGAATATTTTTTTGGGGGGAAGGACTTCTTCCGCGGGGGGGGGGGGGTGGTTTTTTTGCTTTTTTTTTAAGGGGGCCATGTTAAAAAAATCCCCCCCTTTTTTTTTTTTTTCCCGGTTTTTTTCCCCCCAGTTGTTCCCTTTTTTTTTTTTCCCCCAATTTTAAAAAATGGGGGCCCCTTTTTTTTTTTTTTTGGGGTCCCAAAAAAGGGGGAAAAAAAACCAGGTTCCCCCCCCCCCCTTTAATTAAAAAAAATGGGGGGCCCTGGCCCGGGGAAAACCCCGGCGTTCCCCCCCCCCCCTTTTGGGGGGGGGGGGGCAAATGGTCAAAAGGTTTCGGTTTCCCCCTTTTTGGGTCCCCCCCCCCCCCCCCCCCCCCAGTGAGCCCCCCCCCGGCACTGAAAAATAACCTGGGATATCCAGGGTGCCTGAATCCTAACCGGTTATAACCGGTACCCCGATACCGACATCATCACTGACTGTTATACCTATACAACTGTAGAGTGTTTTTGTTATTACTACTGTAGCACCTCTGCTGGCATCATCACTGACAATATGTCAGTGTGCAGCCTCAAAAAGACGCTAAAGAAGCCCAATATCCAGCCGGTTTCTTCACTCACTGTAAAGACCTCAACACATCCCCTTCGACTGCCGTGGTGTTATCTCGAACGGTTGGTCTTTCTGTGAGGTCATGTATACTTTCTAAAGACTGCTGTCAGTGCAAGTGTGGGCAGGCAAGTGCGGGGGGTTATTTGTTTCCGCTGGCCGCCGCCCAAAACAAATGTGAGCGTGTTCTACGTACAACGTTGCCAACTCACCTACTACCCCTGCGGCATTCCAACTTGATGCGCTGCTCCCGATCGACGCCGAAGCCTATGGTTTCGATACCACGGCATAGCATAACTCAATCGGACATTTCCCTTGTCCCGGCACGAAGAGCCGCGCAGGCCTGCTATATATCTATCATTACTGGGTGCCTTCCCTAATATTTGTGTCAGCGGGATCGTGTGCCTTCCTTATATCTACTCTACTTGTCCATTGTGCTTAAGCTGGCCCGCCTGCCGTGTGCCCATGTCAGTTTTCATAAAATGAGACGCGCTTGCCATTGCCTCCGCGCCTCCCGTACTCCGTTTCTGCCGCATCCTGTCAGCATTTTCGTCGCATGTGAAAACGACGTCAAGATTGAACAAACCATTGCATCATCTGGTCTGCATAATAAGTAATAACGTGCCTTTGTATGATGTGTCGGCTCAACTCCAAGCACTACCCACGTTGCGAGATGTAGAGGGCCGGGACAGAGTCTGCAATACCGTGGAGAAAACATCGCAGGGTGATTACTACCTGGTACTCTACAGACAGCACTGCCAAGCACTTACAGCGGCCTCGATACGGCTCCTCTCGTCGTCGATCTCCCGCAACATGGATTCCTCCTTCCTCGACTCCTCCTCCTTCATCCTGGCGAGTCAGACGAGGGGAGAGGGTACCACAGTGATGTTGGGTCGAGTGTGACTGTGCCCATTATGGGTAAGGACTGCTTGTAGTAGACGGAGTCGAGGAACCGTGTTGTGCGGTCCCTTGCTGCGCATGCTAACAGAGGGGAGGGAATACTCATGTACTGGAGGTGGGTGCTGGGAGAGCAACTAGAGCATACGTGATTTCTGTTGCCTCCCCGGGAAGCAAGGGAAACTGGTATTTCGTAGTCCCTTGACACCAAGCCGTGAATAGAATGCACGCACACCACGTGTAGGAATGACACTGCTTGCAGGGCCACCGGGAGGGTTCACAAACACATCTGTGCCTCCCAATCGGAAAGCTTCGGATGACAGCTCTTTCGTCCATACATGTGCGCACGCTGCTGTTGGATACTATGATTGTTTGTGGGAGTGCAAAACAGTCATTTCATTCCATCACGACTGGCACCATTTCCCTGAAGATAATGGATTCAATTTCAACCTGAAGCCAACAACGGGTTTTCAAACACTAGCGTGGACCGTACCCGACTCGGCACGACAGGGGTTGCCGAGGAAAGCACACGCTCGAAAGGATGGGACAAAACCCGATCAGATCTAACGGCGGAGCAAGCTTGACAGCGAAAACTCGGGGCGATGGAGGAGTTAGACATACTTGGAAAGGGGTCGATAGAACCAGATGAAGCTGTTCGTCACGCAAGGAAAAAACGAGCTCTAACCAGTCCCAAATACGGACCTAATAATCGATCCCGACACGCAAGTCAACTATGAGGACACAAATACAACAAGAAATGGTGAAAAAATCCTATGACCAACCTGACGAGCGAAGACAGATGGCCCAACGTCCACCCGGTTGTCATCTGCAGGAGCGCTCCCACGTCATAGTGTCCAGGAACCGGCCCTCCCACGATGGTTCTTTTCCTCTGCGCGATCGGTCCGTAGTTGCTGGCCTGATGTAAGGCAACCAACCAGAAGAGGCAGAACGCGACGTGATACAGTAAGCACCGCCGCTTTCAGAACCCGGGAGTTACGAAACTAACGCTCAATATGACATTGGGTTGGAATATTTGACTAATATAACAGGTGCCCAGTCAAGAGTCCTAGACTACAACCTAGATAAATAGTCGATACTGGCATACCCCACACAGAGCATCGGGAACAATACGCAAGAGGCCGCGAAGAAGGCACCTAGACCGATTTTCAAAGCTAGATTACTCCACAACCAAGATTGTGCCAACACCAAACATGGTGGTTTCGGGAGCATATTGTCGAAGGCGTTCCGTAGGCGCATTGGACTCTTTCTGCGCATCCCTTTGTGGAGCAATCGAGCTTTGAAAGTCGGTCTGGCGGGGGGTACCATTTCTCCGCCTCTTACGTTCAGAGGATCTCCAGTGGGAGCGCATGCTGCATCATGCGTCAGTACCATGGTAGACTATCAGCGGGTAGGGCCCTATGGCTCGAACGCGTGACACGCAGGACGAAATGAAAGCAACAAGGGCATGTCCGCAACGGCCCGAACGTGTCTATTCCGTGCCTTGTACGACAACCTCGTAAGATAGAATCAACCACTGACAAACACAACACCGCTGGACGTTTCTCGACCGGGGCCGATTCCCCGGACCCTAGCCCAAAAGGAGACGAATTCGTATCCCTCGATATGAGGCAAAGATGCTTCGTTGAAACCATAGCGCACGCGGTGGTAGGTTTTCCGTGGTTATCGCCGACGACGCTAACTGGGCTCTCCAGCGGTCACAATAACCGCTCTGCCCGGGCCATTGTTTCGATTATCTCGTACCTCCACCACCCTGATGGCGTCTTGCCAACCCCCCTTGCGTGCGCGCAACGCACCGGGCAGGATGGCCCCTTTTCCCACGAGCGAGACGTGGCACGGGTCGCTCTCGCTTCCATCCTGTAAAAAGGTGCGCAAGCATTTGCAACCGAACGGGTAATTTACCTCACATATCTACATGGCCATGAATCACGAAAAGTATCTCAAGGGTGCGTTGAAAGAAGTGCGGCGAGACCGATGTTGGCACAATAGCAGAATACCGGCCATGGAGGTAAGTCCGTCCATTCAAAGCGAGCAGAGGTTTCGCCGAGACACGCGTCAGCATGCGGAGAAAACACGCTGCACAAGTTGTTCCATTCTAATTTTACTTGAATCTGGCGTAGCTACGGGCTTTGATAGGTCAAGGGGCCGTACGTCGAGTCTACCGTCTCAAGAGAGCAGTTCCGATCCCACCGCCGTACGCTGAGGACATTTTCAGCATGGCTCATGTGGCGGCTTGAGAACTTCCGTCTCGTAGGGAACAGAACGCACTTCGCTATGAACTACTTTTCGTTTTTATCTGCTTGTTGCCTCAAATCCATCACGCCAACACTGTCTCGAACACGCGATGGATCCCGTTCTTTTATCATGAACTCGCTCGATAGTAGCATCAAAATTACGTGCAGTACTCGGTGGGAGGGAGACGCAACAACTGCGGCACTTGTTTCGTTCTTCTGACCTGCTCAATGGGCTGTGTAAGCCACTCGAACACCTCGTACAAGCCCCGGAACCAGAGAAGGACGGAGCCAAGCAGGGAGACCACGACGAGGACCAAGGCCAAGGACAAGCCGACTACTAAACCAAGCGGCCCGACTATTCCGGAGCACAGCTTGCGGAAGTATCCGGCTCGTCGCGATCGCAGCTTCGGCTTCCTGTCTGCTACCGCCTGGCATTAATTGGTCACAGAGGGGGGGGGGGTCAATAGCGGCGCAACACCCCTGCGGTTTGATCGGCCTTTAGGTTGAGATTTGACGTGCTAGCGGGTCAGAGGTGGCAGAGGGCGGTGGAGGTTGCGGTGTTTCGACCGGCGCCACCATAACGTCTCAGGAAAATGTAGAACAAGGGTGGTGGGAGGGGAACCAGAAAAGAAGGGGGGGTGGGGTGGGGGTGGAGGCCTTGGGGGTGACAAGTGAAAGGTAAAAGGGCAAGGTATTGCAGGAATGATACGCTTGGGGGGGGGGGGCGTACTCCTTTGTTGCTTGCCGTAATCCTTTGACCATTGACCCCGCGTCCCTTTCCAAACGGGGGGGGGGGGGGGGGGGGAAAAGGGGATTTTAAAAAAAAAAGGGGGGGCCGATTTTTTTTTAAAACCCCCCGGGTTTTAAAAAAAAAACCCCCCCAAAACCCCTTTTTTCCAAATTTTCCCCCCCCCCCCGGAAATTTTGGGGGGTTTCCTTTTTTTCCCCCCCCCCCTCGTTTGAAAAAAAAAAAAATTTTTGTCCCGTTTAAAAACCAAAAAAAAGCCCCTTTT